TTGAATTTGGTTTCACGAGAGCGATTGATAGAGAGCGTTCTCGCCTGGGCTTCTTCCGAATTGAGAGAAAACCGAATGTGTGAGAGAGAACGAAGCAGAGAATCTGATTGGAAGCTTGTGTCGGCTGTTTATGTGAATGAGTCAATATATGGGGCGGTTTGTGTGACTTGAAGTAGGAGAAGAGGCGGGCTGTTTCTGAACTGGGAGAGAGAGAGAGACGATTCTTTCTGTGCATGAACTGGAGGAGACCAAATAGTTTTCGAACTGCAGTGAAAGCAGTTCCCAACTCTAGGAGAAGAGGAACTGTTCGCCAATTAGAGGGGAGAGGGAGCGGTTGAGGGCTGGACGTTCGTGTTGTGGGATGAATGGTTCTCTATGTGTAGGGGAGTATGAGTTGCAAACTTAAGAGAGAGTGTGAGGGAGACGGAACTACAGGATATATGGGGATTATGGGTTTGGTTTTCGAAATATGAGGGAGAGGGAGTTTTGTGAGGTGCTCTGGGGTTGTCGGTTCCTAAGCTTCTTGCGGACTGAAGAGAGGAGGGAGTTTGGTTCTTTATGTGTGAATGGGGAGGAGTAACGGGCTGGCAGCTTCTCACGCGAACTGGAGAGTGCGAGTGGGCTGTGCTTCGTGCGAATGAGAGAGTGGGGGATAGGGAGTTCGGGAGTTAAGTGAGGGGGAGGTAGTTCGCGAACTGCAGGTGTTGGTTGGGGTCGGTTCGTGAATAGAGAAGGAGAATGGGGTTGTGGGTTGGACCGGCCCTAAACTGTAGTTAATCAATTTTCATTTCAAAAAAAATTGATGGTTAAGAATGGTTTAAGCCCTTTTTTCTTAAAAAAATAAATTAAGGGTTGATCTTGATTTGAAAAGAAATTTTATTAGGTAGAATTTGGGGTTTAATTGATGAGTTGATTTGAGTTCAGTTTGGAGCCGAATTAAAACTAGATTGAATTGATTTTGATTCGAATTGAATGATAGATTCGAGTTGAGTGATAGGTTCGAGTCGATGCTACGTCAGTGGGTGTCCACCTAAGAGGAATTCTGCGGGTGACCTCTATACTAGGCTACGAAGACCTAGGTGCTATAGTCGATTCCGGGGAAATTGACCTCAAATAATGAGGTCAACAATAATCCAATAGAGATGTGGAAATACTTAGGAGATGAAGGAATTTGTTGTCTTACTAAACTTTTTAATATTATTTTGAAGACTAAAAAGATGTCAGATGTGTGGAGAATGAGTGTTTTGATTCCTATCTTTAACATTAAAGGTGATGCACAAGATTATGCAAATTATAGAGGAAATAAGTTGATGTGTCATACTTTAAAACTATAAGAGAGAGTTATGGAACATAGGTTACGACATAATATTAATGTTTCTCAAAATCAATTTGGATTCATGCCAGGTATGTCTACTATGGAAACCATACATTCATTAAGAGGTTTGATGGAGAAGTATAGAGAGAAAAAGGAAGTTCTTCATGTGATATTTATTGATTTAGAGAAAACATATAATAAAATTCCAATAGAAATTTTATGGAGAGTTATAAAAAAGAAAGGGATTAAAAATGCTTATATTCAAGTGATAATAGATATATATGTTGGAGCTGTTACTTGTGTTCAAACATAAGGTGGTTTGATCAAGTATTTTTTAATTTTAGCTGGATTATATCCATCAAGGATCAGGCATAGGCCCATATCTTTTTTGCTTTAGTCATGGATATTCTTAGTAAATATTTTCAAGAGGATGTTCTCTAGTGTATGCTTTTTTTCTTATGATATTCTTCTTGTTGATAATAATAAAGATGGAGTTGAAGGTAAACTTGAATTATGGAGGTCAACCATAGCATCTAAGGGTTTTCATTTGAGTATATATAAAAATGAATATATTGAGTGTAGTTTTTGTAGTAATAGATCTAGTGAGAGGTTTGTGACTTTGAGTGATCAAGATATTAATAAGAGCACACGCTTTAGATATCTTGGGTCTATTATTCAGATTGATGGTGAAATATATGTTGATATTTTTAGTAGAATTCAAGTTGGATGGATGAAGTGGAGGAATGCACCAGGCTTGTTGTGTAATAGAAAAACACCACTAAAACTTAAGTGAAACTTCTATAAGATGGTGTTTAGACCTTCAATGCTTTATGGTGCAAAATGTTGTCTATTAAAGAGAAGCATAATATTAAGTTAAGTGTTGCAAAGATGAGGATGCTCAGGCAGATGAGTGGCATTACTCTTAAAGATAGGATACGAAATGAGCATATACGTGAAAATGTTGGAGTAGCTCCAGTGGTGGATAAGATTAGACAGAGTCGCCTTAGATGGTTTGGTCACATAAAGTGACACCTTCTAATGACCTGGTTAGGAGAGTAGACGTATTAGATTTAACTTATGTTAAGAAAGGTAGAGGTAGACCTAAAAAGCCTCATCATTAAGCAGATCATACTATATAATCTATAGATTGGACTATATGATCATCTCATGAAATTAACTAAATTAGGATATTTTAAGGTTTGATTATTTACTTAATATAAATAATCCTCTTAAAGATGAAGAATGGGTTGTTGAACATTTTTTCCTTTATGGAGTCTCCATCTATCAAGGGTTGAGTAGTTTTGAGAGATCAGAGTTGGTTGAGAGAGAAAGAGTTATTGGGAGTCATTCTACTATGAGAGTGAGAAGGTGGTAGAGACTATGAAGGATCTCATGGAAAGATATCCATAAGATCGATGTGCAAAACTGGTGCACAAGGATTGTTCTTCATATTCTATGACCTTTCCTCATGTTTATTAGCGTGAGAACTTTTGGGTGTAAGAGGTGTAAATATTCTTGGTGAGAAGACTTTTGTTCTAGCCAGAAGGCTAGAAGTGAGGCGTCTTCGTCATGCTGGTTGCAAAACGAGCAATACATCTCAAGAGAGAGAAGAGGTGAATAATGATGTTCTCTATGTCCCTGTGAAGAGAAAAGCACATCTCCCTTAGTCGGAGCAGGATTAGTTAGTGGAATTCCTTGAGAGAGGACTTCAGGAAGTGAATTTAAGTCAGGTTGACCGAATAACTATAAAAATTTTTATTTATCTTTTTCTTTTATGCATTATTTTACTTTTTGTATATTTTAATTTAATGGTTAAAATTTTTGTGTTTGAATAATAATTTATTTCAAAAACAAAACAAAATCTTTGTGATAAATTATAATTTATCTAGAAAAAAATGTTTTTATTAATCTCTCTTATCTTTAAAGTTGTTTTAAAATAATATTTAAAAAAAATAATAAACTACTTTACTTTTGTTGTTACTCCACTAATCCAGACAGGTTTTCAAAATCTTAGAAGTGGTAGAAAGCAGGGTTTATAGGATAAGTAAGATGGATCTAAACACAGCTCATTTTGGTCTATTAATTGAGAACTTTGACTATCAAATAAAAAATTTTAGGTTCAAATCTTTTGTATATGATATTTGTATAAGTTTATTTTAACTTGCCTGAATATTCAAAAAAAAAAAAAAAAATCCTAACGGACTTTGGTATGTGTGGAAGACTTCGTGGGGGAAAGGCAGTGAGCTGAGCTAACTACGTGTTTGATGTGGCTTGTGATGGAAAAGAACAGATGAAGCTGGCAGAGATGGACTTGCCCCTTTTGTGTTGACTGCATCAAACGAGATCCAGGCCGTTCTTGCCGTTTCGTACAAATGAGTTTGAGGTCCCTCATTAGACGAGCTTCCGAAGAAGAGGTCTAGCGTTGACGAGCTTGTGCTACAGCGTTTGGGCTATCAGTAGAAGGTCAGTGGCAGGTAAGGGTTGTTCGGTAGTCTGATTTACGCGGTAAAATTTACCGTAAATCCTGCCAAATGGTCCCACATCCAAATCCTCCATTTTGTCCTGAATAGGATCAAATTTGTAGATGATATGAGCTCATCAAAACCGAGGTGCATTTGCTGGTATCATAATGAACTCGCCAATCTACTCGGACTCAAAAGATAATTAAGCAAAGAAGGAGAGATTATTAGATCATCTCCAACCGAAAATCTCATTTTTCACTCCAAAATGCCGGAAACTACAAAATACCGTGATTTCATCTCCAATGGAACGCGTTTTTCACCCTTTTGCAGTTAACCGTCGCCTCTTTTTTTCCCGCGACAAGTTCGGTAGAGTGGTAAAAATGACGGAGATGAACAGTGCAACGCCAATATTGGCGTCCCACTGTTCACCCGCAGGCATATAGCGGAAATTTTGCAGTTCGGCTGGAGCTGGCCGGGAGCTCCATTCAAGCGTTTGGAGGTCGGTTGGAGATGCCCTTAGTGTGGAATTCATAGATAGTGAATTATTTGATGTTTACCTGGCAATTTTATTATATTATTCACAGCATAAAATTTAATAGTTCTCTTGACTCCGCATACAATAATATCCAATGAAATTGCTACTCCCAGGAAGTCAACTAACACATGCAAAGCTGACCAGCAATTTAACTTGTGTAATTTGATTTTTAATTTAGTTTTTAATAAATAAAAACTAATATTTGATTAATTTAATAAATTATAAAGTAATTATTATTTAAAACGTTATATCAATTAAAAAGATTCATGTAGAGAATCCCATATAATGGGATAAAAACTTGTTATTTTTACACCATTATTAATTTAATTAATTTTTCTATAAAATAATTTAATATAAAAAAATATTTCAATCATTTAAATTCCTAAATATTGAAATAAATAGTCAAACGATATTCTAGGATTTAACAAGACTTGACCTTTATCAAACAAGACCTTTATCTTCCAGGATTTAGTAAATCGGTATTTATAAGATTTACAGAATTTACTAAATCCTACTAGCAGCCAAAGAGCCCCTAAAGATCGAGCTTTCTCTGATGTTATGCTATAAATAGATAGAATAGAAGAAAAGTGGATCTCTTCTGTCTATTGTAAAAATCATGGATATAAATATATATAGGATGAAGAAAAAGCAAATAACTGCAAAACATAATGGGGAATGTCCTGTAAAAAAAAAAAAAGAGAGAATCTCTCTTAACATTGTGTGATATTTTTACATGAAGAGAACAATCGTTTCTATACGATAATAGATATAAAACCACACAAAAAGAGAGGCAAAATTTTGAAATTTTCAATCTGAACAACTTTCTCATGTTATTCAACTGATTAACTACATACAATACAGAATGTCTAATCGATATAAATTCAATGGCAAGAGCATCACTACCTACCATGTATAGTAGAGGAAGAACGAGAACTTGCTAGACCTTCTGGATTCCAATCCAGAGTGGAGTTATAGATGGCTGAAAGAGATACAAGCAATTCATTCATAGTAGGCCGCGAATTAAGATCATGAGATACGCATCTCTTTGCCAGTTCGGCGGTGGCAAAAGCCAAATCAAAAGGGTAATCATCTCTCAAGCAAGGATCAAGAAAGCCTCTCAACTTGCTCCTCACTTCTTCTCCAGAAAGAACCTCCTCAATGGTTGATGACAGAAGAATCTCACCTTTCTCCTCACCCTCCCTTTCAAATGTGGCTTCTTTACCAGATAAAAGCTCAAGCAAAACAACACCGAAGGCAAAAACATCAAGCTTCGGAGTGATAAGGCCATGCTCGAGATACTCGGGCGCCAGGTACCCCTGAGTACCAACGACATGCCTGGTAAGCTGCTGGAGCCCCTCCTCATCTGCTAGAGGCCTCGCAAGCCCGAAATTCGAAACCTTGGCCCTGAAATCCTTCGCAATTAGAACATTGCTGCTCTTCAAATTCTTATGAACGTAGGGAGGATTCGTGTAATTGTGGAGATAATTCAACCCATCTGCAACATCGCAAGCAATCTGAATCCTATGGTTCCAGGTAAGGTTAGAAGAATCACTCTTACCCTTCATATGATATAGCCAATCACTAAGAGAGCCCATCTCCGCATACTCATACACCATATAAGTATCTCCTTCATGAAGGCAAAACCCAGAAAGCCTGATCAGACTTGAATGGCTTATCTGCTTCAATATTTTGATCTCATTAGACACATCACCTTTCAACCTCTTTATAGCAGCAGAATCACCATTGATAACACCCCGATATACTGAGCCTTTGATGCGATGTTTTTCATCAAAATATTCAGTAGCCTTCTGCAATTCTTCAAATTTATACACTGTCATCCAGTCAAGCGCACCTTGCAAGCTGGAAGCTAAATGGTAAGGGGTAGTCGGCGATGACAAAGAAGTTGATTTGAATGGTAGCTCCTCATACTCTGTGATGTTGGACACTGGCTCACCCTTTGGGGGCTGCTTCCGCCGCCTCAAGCAGAAGAAAAGAGCTAGGGCACCAATAAGAAGCAGCAACCCGACTCCAACGCCAACCCCTACGAACAGCCCTGTATGGCTAGAGCCACCGCCGCCGGGTGGTAGTGGTTTAGCTTCTGAGGCACTAGGCTCGGGGGACGGCGGGGAAGACGACAAGGCGGTGGGCTCAGTGGTAAGAGGAATTAATAGTGTGGTGAAAGGGAAATAGGTGGACTTCTCGTTGAGCTCGTTTGCATCGAGAATGGATTGGTAATCGGATTTAAAGATTTGGGCGAGGGTGGAGAGATCGTCATTCTTTTCGATGATGTAGCTGAGGAGGTACTTGATGCCGGCTTTCGTTTGGTTTATTGTTGGACAAGCGCACCGAAGTGGTACGACAAGCTGATCGCCGACGGCGAGTTTGCGGCTGTCGAAAGGGTTCTGATCCATTAGGGCTTGACAGGTTGAGAGACCCTGGTACGTCTCGTTAGCAATGTCGAAGTAATTCTCGGAGAGGGCTTTGATGGTATAGGAGGCGTTGTGTTGGTAGAATTGGTTGGAACAAGAACAGGAGATGGGAATGAGGATAAGCTCACCGGAGGAGAGAGTGGCGACGTCGGTGACGGAATTGATGCGTGAGATGTTGGAAGCGTCCGCAGATAGAAGGAAAGCGATGATGGCCGGTGATAGGTAGGGGGATTTTGCACGGAAGGTGAGGAAAGAGGTGCAGGAGTGCTCAACGCCGTTGCAGGTATAACCAAGGGCGGATGACGCGTTCGAGCCATAGCAGTTGTCCTGCACGTTGTTAATGTAAGGCTGCTGAGAATAGCATGAGGTAAAGAAGAGGACGACAAGGAGGAGGACGAGGAGATGGAGGAAAAGAATAGTAGAAGAGGAAGACGCCATGGCTGGAGCTTGCTTCAAGGATATGCGCGTGAGAGGAGAAACTAGATCTGCGATATTTGTGTAGCTGGTGGGTATGTGACCGCAGGGTCACCAATTCAACTGTCCAAAGGAAGACCAGACGAACGCTCCGATGTTGAACGTTGAATCGTCAATAGAAATTAAAATAAAATATAAAATGACGGACTAGACAGTCATTTTTGTTTTCTTTCCTAATGAATAATATTTTAATGTCTAATTATTTTTCTATTTGATAGATTATTTTCTTTTGTACTATACAATTATTTCATGTTCACCCAATCTTACTGAAATTGAGCGTTATTGTGATATTACGATGATGGCGTAGCGTTTTGCTTTTACACGATGTAAGCGGCTTTTTTGTCTACGAAGTAAATATATTAAGAAATAAAAATTAGAAATTTGTACGAAGTTTTTTGGAATATTGTTTGAAGCTTCATATATCATCAAAAAATTATGTTGATTCGGCACGAAGCTCGAAGTAAAAATTAAATTGGAAACTCAATAAATTATACGGTTGACCATTTGAACTCTTATTTCAGCAAATTTATAGTCGACTTGAAGGTCTCGAAATCAGAGCAAAATGAAAGCTTGAAATTAGATATATATATATATATATATATTAGAGCATTATAATATAATATCAATTAGTTTGTATTAATTATGCTGAGGTGTAATATTCTTATTGGATATATACATTAAGCCGTACGTTACTCTGTTTATATAAGCCATGCATCTCTCTTGATAAAAAATGAAAAACAATTCTCTTGTTCTGCTTTCCTATTCATCGGCTCTGTCAAGAACAGACCGTCTTCTTCTTTCTCATCTTGTCTTTCTACATGGTATCAGTCGCCTTGTAATCAGGATTCCTGATCTATGTTTGACGCCGCCTCCCTCCAGATCTCCGATGATCTTCACGATCATCCCGTCTCCGTCGATCCTCCAATCCCGGCCAATCTAAAGTTCGTTGTCTCCAACATTAAGAACTTCGTCACAACTCTGCTTGCCGCTGATAATTACGCCATATGGCGATCCCAAATTCTGAAGATCATCCGTGTCAATGGATTCCATTGTTTTCTTGAGTCACAAACCACAATCCTGGCCAGTTTTGTTCAAAATCCAGACGGTTCGTCGTCCTCAAATCCAAGATTCATCAACTAGCATCTTACCGATCAAAACCTTTCTGCCGCTATATGCTCCACCATTTCCGCCTCAATCTTGCCTTATGTAATTTCTCTTGAATCTACATCTGCTATATGGCAAACGCTAGAATCCCATTTTCAATCATCAAATCGCTCCAAGGTCATTCAACTCAAGAATGAACTTCACAACGTCTCCCTCAAAACCTCTACAATGACTCAATACCGCTCCGAAATCAAATCTTTAGTTGATCAAATTTCGGCAGCCGGTTCCACTGTCAACATAGAGGATATTATTCTCTACATTCTAAATGGCCTTCCTCCTACCTATCAATCCTTCAAGACCTCCATTAGAACTATGCTCACACCCATAAGCCTCGACCAACTCTACCCTCTTCTTCTTAGCGAAGAAATAAATTTGGCTGCGGATGCAGCTCGTCAACACATAAGCAATGATCTCGCACATGCCTTATTCAGCTATAGAGGGCACGGCAAGAGGTCTCGCGGGAAACAAAGCTACAATTCCTCGGGACCATCCAGAAACAATCCCAACAGTTCAGTTGTTTGTCAAATATGCTACAAGAAAGGCCACTCAGCACAATCTTGTTGGCATCGCATGAACGCTCAGTACACTCCGGCCGCAAGAAACGTGAACTGTGCGCTTCTTGCCACCTCTACCAACTCGGACAGTAACTGGTTTCTGGATTCCGTTGCCTCAATGTATTTAAGAAACTCGCTCGACAACATGTCCATTACCTCACCTTACCAAGGATCGGACAACAACACGATCGCCGATGGCAGCTCCATCAACATAGCACACTCAGGGGCTGGACTTCTTCTAACTCCCTCTTGTAAGCTACATTTTTCTCACATTCTTCACTCTCCATCTCTCGCTTACAATTTACTATCTATATCTCGTCTAACAAAAGATAATAATCTTTTGATAAATTTTGATTCCAATGGTTTCACATTTAAGGACCGGAAGACTCACTAGGTCATTCTGCAAGGGCAGTGCACTGAAGGTCTCTACCCTATCCAGATCAACTCCTCATTACCGCACAAGAAGGCGCTGGCTGCAGTCCCCACCCCGACCAATATCTAGCATTATCGGCTAGGCCACCCGTATAATCATGTTTTGGACTTAATTTCTAGCTGTAATACTCATCTTAAAATTGAAAAACATTTTTTCTGTCAACTGTGTAAAGAATCGAAATGCCATGAGCTGTCTTTTGAATTGTCTAAAAATCGTCAGAATATGCCTCTCGTGCTCATTCGCTCTGATGTTTGGGGTCTGACTCCGATTGTATCTACTCAAGGATACAACTATTACTGCATATTCATCGACGATTACACTAGATTTACATGGCTTTTTCCTTTACGATGAAAATATGATGTTTTACGCATTTTCATTGATTTTAAAACTCAAGTAGAAAATTATATCTCTCGCAAAATAAAAATTCTTCGTACTGACGGTGGATTCGAATACGTCAACCACGAGTTTGCCGACTATCTTCGCAGAACACGGCATAACACACCAACTATCCTGTCCTTATACCCTAGAACAGAATGGTTTAGCTGAGAGAAAGCACTGTCATATCATCGAGACTACGAGAACCCTTCTCCGCACATCCTTGGTTCCTTACATTTACTAGCCTGATGCGGTATTAACTTCTATCTATCTAATTAATAAAATGCCGTCTCCTACCACCAATAACATCTCTCCTTTTGAACTTATTCATCACACCAAACCTGACTACAACAATCTTCACGTCTTCGGCTGTCAATGCTTTTCGCTCACTCCGCCTACCTCTCATCATAAGCTCCAACCAAGATCCAAATCCTGTGTTTTCTTGGGATACTCGGATACTTAAAAAGGGTGCAAATGTCTAGACCCAATCACAAATAAAATCATTTTTTCTAGGCACACCACCTTCAATGAACAATCTTTTCCATTCTCCACTATTGCCTCTAACTCAGCTCTTCCACCCAATGATACTTCTCCTCATCTATTGATACCTGCCTCATCTAATCAAGTTACTGTGCCTACCTTCATTTATGTGATCCAAGATAACAATCACCCTATACCTCATACCCCTGTGATCCAAGAAACTCATCCCGTGGCTCCGCAATCATATCCTTCTACTCATCCCATAGCTCCCCCAACAAAGCCGTCTCATCCCATGACAACCCGTAGCCAAACAGGATCGCTCAAAAATATGAATCACTTAAACCTTCTTCATCTAACCAATTCGTCCATCTCGCCCGACCCCATGTCCTACACTGAAGCCATCAAGAAGTTTGAATGGTGCCAAGCCATGGCCGCTGAATTTCTTGCGCTTCAAAAACAATCCACCTGGAGTTTAGGCAAACCACCTAACAACGATCCATCCTCGGCTGCAAATGGAAGTACCGAACCAAATTTCATGCTGACGGCTCGGTAGCGAAATACAAGGCGAGACTGGTTGCTCAAGGCAACAATAAAGAATTCAGAATAGATTACACATAAACAATCAGTCATGTAGTAAAATTACCTACTATTTGTATACTCTTGTCTATTGCTCTGTATCATGATTGGCAGGTTCACCAACTGGACGTCGCAAACGCGTTTCTACAAGGAACCTTAACCGAAACTATATACATGAACCAACCGAGAGGTTTTGAAGATAGCTCCCATCCTGATCATGTATGCAAACATCAAAAAGCCCTATATGGACTAAAATAGGCTCCAAGATAGTGTTACAACACCTTTACATCCTTCCTCGAGTCAATCGGGTTCTCACACAGTCAAACCGACCCGTCACTTCTCATCTACCACAAAGATAAGGCTTATATATTTCTTCTTATATATGTTGACAATATTTTAATCACAGGGAATCAATCGAATACCATCCAAGATATCTTACACAAGCTCGGAAAAGAATTCTGCTTGAAACATTTAGGAAATGCAAATGAGTTCCTTGGCATACGGATTCAATGTTCTCAAGACTCGTACTTCCTATCACAAAAGAAGTATGCTTATCAATTGCTTCAACAGGCCAACTTAACTGAATGCAAGCCCCTCTCCAACCCCACCTGCACAAAACTGCCCACGGTTTTCAATTCAGAACCATTCCTCACCAATCCAACTCTATATCGTCGTCTAATCGAATCTCTTCAGTACCTGACTCTTACTCGACCCAACATTCCATACAGTGTAAATCTACTATCACAGCACATGCAGAATCCCCTTCCTCAACATTTTTATCAGCTCAAACGTCTCTTACGATACATCAAAGGTATGTTGGACTTCGGTATTCCAATCACCAAAACTAATCTTGTTCTTAAATCCTTTTCAAATGTGGACTGGGCTGGTGATCCCATTACTAGAAAATCTACGTCTGGGTATTGCTCCTTTCTTAGTGACACTATCATATCCTGGACGGTCAAGAAACAGCACACCGTCACCCGATCCTCCACAGAATCAGAATACCGTGCTCTCACGGCGCTCACAACGGACATCATTTGGCTCCGAAAACTACTACAAGATTACGATATACCTCAAGACTATCCAACTGAAATGTACTGTGACAATACATCGGCCATCGCTTCGGCTCACAATCCGGTGTTTCATGCTCGCACCAAACATGTAGACATTGAACAAAAAATTATAAGAGACCAAATTCAAAAGAATAATATTACTCTGCTACCTATAAGCACAATTGATCAAAAAGCAGACATTCTAACCAAACCTTTATCTACATCTCATTTTCATATACTTCATCTCAAACTTACCGTTATCAAGGACCCATCAGTTTGACGGGGCGTATTAGAGCATTATAATATAATAGCAATTAGTTTGTATTAAGGATGCTGAGGTGTAATATTCTTATTGGGTATATACATTAAGCCGTACGTTACTCTATTTATATAAGCCATGTATCTCTCTTGATAAAAAATGAAAAACAATTCTCTTGTTCTGCTTTTCTGTTCATCGGCTCTGTCAAGAACA